AACCCCCTCCTTCCAACTTGAATATTTCACTACTTTTTGCTGGGAGCAAGTTCCAGAGACTTGGTGATCCTCCTTCTATATAGGTTACAAGTTCAGCCAGCAAGCTTTTGGTGTTCATGTCCTCACCCCACTTGTGTGTTTGTCTGCCTAATGCTCTGAGAGTTGTAGACACCTCCAGGCCACCCTAGAGCACTTACCGGAGCAAGGAGAAAAGTCCCTGGAAGGCTCCATTAGCTGTTTTGACTGCTATTATGCTTTTCAACAGATCTGTGCAAACAGTACTCATATGGGCTAATTATCACTCTCCTCTTCACTTGCTAACACCACACAAAGAAGGGCTTGAATTAGCAATGACCAAAGCAAGGACAGAAGAGGCGTTAATATATCAAGGACTTAAGAAACCTGCCACTCTGGGAACATACTGTATTACTGTAGGTCAGTGGTGGCGAACCTATGGCACGGGTGCCAGAGGTGGCACTCAGAGCCCTCTCTGTGGGCACACGTGCCATCGCCCTAGCCAGGCCCAGACCATCATAAAAGTGTCAAATTCTCTGCCAAATAATTTTAAGTAAATGAAAGCATTTGGGATTGCTTTCCTTACTTTGTTTGGATCATCTTAAGTTAATGTATGGGTTGTTTTTTCTAAAGTAAAACCTCAGTATTCAGGTTAAATTGCCGTCTTGGTACTTTGCGATAAATAAGTGGGTTTTGGGTCGCAGTTTGGGCACTCGGTCTCTAAACGGTTCGCCATCACTGCTGTAGGTTATGGCTGGCTTGCTAATAGAAGAAGAAGAAGAGATTGGATTTATACCCCGCCCTTCACTACCCAAAGGAGTCTCAGAGCGGCTTACAAACTCCTTTCCCTTCCCCTCCCCAAAACAGACACCCTGTGAGGTGGGTGGGGCTGAGAGAACTCTGACACAAACTGCTCTTTTTCAAGGACAGCTGTGCCAGAGCTTGTGACTGACCCAAGGGTCACATCAGCAGGTGCAAGTGGAGGAGTGGGGAATCAAACCCGGTTCTCCCAGATTAGAGTCCGCGCACTTAACCACTACACCAAACTGGCCACTGGCCGGTGAGGATTCCCCCCAGGACTGCCTGTGTCCCTCCATTTTCCTTTCTAGCCTTAAAGAACTACTAAAAGGTTTGAGATAGTTCAGGAGTCAGCAAAAGACTTGGAACGACTTGACCGTCTTCGAACACACTGAACTCCAAAGTCAAGTTCTGCCCACAGCCAACTTTCTGCCTTCCCCCTCAGCCCCCATTTCTAGATTTTCCATGGCAGCTACTTTCAGACGTTAACGTCTGCATTCAGCTCTAATCACCCCATGAGCAGTCTAGGCTCACTGCCAAACGTATCAGCCCGTGTGACTTCTCAGCCGGACTGCTGGATCTCACTTTTTGGTTTTTTTTAAATAAGAAAGGACTTGTAGAATTACATGCATTGTAAAAATCACAGCCAATATGCATCCTAACAGTTACTGCAAGTTTAAACACACGGCTTAATCAGAGACCAATTGTTTCATGGAACATAAAATTAATTTTAAATATTTTATGAAAAGTAAACTCCAAAGGATGGCCTGGCGTGATATGGTCTATGGGGTCGCGAAGAGTCAGACTCGACTGTGCGACTGAACAACAGCAACAACAATTCTAGGAGCTACGGCTTCTTTCAGAGAGCATAAAGAAAGCCACGATTCTGGCCTGCTTCCAATTATTAAAATCCAAACATATTTGCCAGAAGAGGCAACTTCCTTTCCCGGCCAAATGTCAACGTATTCTCTAGTTCTTAATGGCTATTTGTCCTTCGCGATGCATGGCAACACCACATAACATGCAGACAACTGCTGAGATGGCTTTATTGGGCCGGATGGTGTATATTTCTAATTTGGGGGGAAATAGTCTTAATTCTTGCAAGAGATGTTGCAAGCTCTAAAATGACACTCTCCCAGTCTTCTTCTTCTTCATTACTCATCTATATCCTTCCTTTCTTCAAACCTGTAACTTGGTTGCGTACGAGCAGCTCCCAGAATATCTCTCTTATAGGCACTGTCAAGATCCAACCCTGCTTAATTCTAATCTTATTTATTTATTTATTCAATTTATACCCCACCCTCCCCGTTAAAACAGGCTCAGGGCGGCTTACATAAAAAGTTAAAATACATAAAACAAAACAATTGTAAAACCAATTCATAAGGTGCTAGTGAAATATCAAACATTGCATAGCAATGGCGGACCATAATAACAGATCACTCATAGTGAAATACAGTCAGCTTTGCTGTTAGAGCTATTACTTCAGTCCCTATGTGCTGGCGGGGCACAGGCTGCCAATGGTGACTTTTAGATTTCCTTCTAAGATATTTACAAACTTATATATGTAAAATAGATCAAAACCCCCATTCTGTATTGCCCAAGCGAGTCTGACACATTCAGTGAGCAAAAAGGAATATTCTGGAGGAGAGATCCAAGAAAGACAATGAATCACCCCAGTAACAGTCGACTTAATCATCCTGTGCTATTAGTGACAAACAGAACTACAGAAAGCCCAGAGGTAAAACCTGAACAATCTAAAATTCTGCATCCTGTCTGACTGCAATCCTCTGACCCTCTTCAGAAAAAATAATTCCATTTTTTAAATTAATTTTATAAAAAGATGTCAAGTATACATAAATAAACCCATTATATCTCAAGATTGCTGTATAAACATTAATACAGATATCACAATGCAGATACATATATCACAATGCCTCTCCCCGTATATTCCCCCAAGAGCACTGAGATCGGGGAATCTCCATTGCCTGGAGGTTCCAGGCTCCCGGAAAGCGAAGCTGACCCAAACCAGGACCAGGGCGTTTTCGGTGGCGGCTCCCACCTAGTGGAATGAGCTCCCGGAAGAGACTCGGGCCCTGCGGGACTTAGTGCAATTCCGCAGGGCCTGCAAGACGGAGCTCTTCTGCCAGGCCTTTGAGGGGGAGCCGCCGCCGCCACTGTTCCATCAATGACATTTCCAACCATCTGCCCCATATAGCTGGGGCAGATGTCGCCCAATGGAAGCTGGGGGAACATTCTTCCTAGTGTCTCCGTTGTAAACAATCTGCCGCCAATGTATGGATGTTGACCATCTCGGATTTTTATGGAAATCAATTAGCACCAAATTTTATGTTAGATATATTGTTTTATTATGCTGTTGTTTGTACGTATTTTTAACTTTTGTAAGCCGCCCCGAGCTGAATACTGGATGGGGCGGGATATAAATCCCAAAATAAATAAATAAATAAATGCCGCCTATTAACTTGTCAGCAGGATCTTCCTATGACCATATCCTTATCACTTTCTTGTGATTTTCCAATTATTCTAACATTGCTATAATAGTAACGTATAATAAATCCATATATAGTTTAGAAGGACCTCAAAAGTATTTTATGAGAGTGCTCAGACCATAACAAATCCTCATAGATGTGGCCATTCTGCATAGCCAGTATGTGCTGGTAATACATCGTTTTCTGTGAAATATGTTATGAGAGGACACCATTT